GCCCCGAGCCAGCCTGTGCCTTTCCTGGGGCCAGGGCGGGAAGGCCAGTTTTGACCCAACTCGTGGGAAGTGGTTCCCGGCTGAGAGGAGCAGCCCGGCGCTAAGGGGGCGTCCCCAGGGACACCCCAGTGTCTGGGTCACGCGCATGCACTCACCTCCCGGTCAGTGTTCCGACTGCAACCACAGACCCTGAAGGATGAAAACCAGAAGACTGAGCTGGATCCTAAAATATTGTAAAGGAAGTGTAAATGGAGGGTCAGACACGGCACTGTCACATAGAACACACAGCAGCGCCCCCCGGGCCACCCGGCCCACGGAAACATCTTATCCCCAGAGAGGAAGATGCTCCCCCCGTGAAGGGGACATTTCAGTGACCCTAAATGTGCATCCTCGCAGGGGTCTTAGACTCCCAGGCAGGGAGTCAGACGACGTCCAGCGGACGTGTCCTCCCGGGCTGGAGGCCGAGCCTTGCTGAAGGCCGGCCTGAGTGTGCTCATTGGCCTGAGGTAGGACCGCTGTGCCCAGGTGGAGGCTGGACGTGAAGACTGCCTGGCATGGGTACCGCCGCAGCCTGGAGGGCTCTCTGAGGCTCGGGCACACCCCGGGAGCACCCATGTCCTCTGCCAGCATGGATACATAGCGGTCAGGGCCCTGGAGGTGGTGGAGACCAGCTGTGGCTCAGTAGGGGCAGCGGGAGGGTCCATCGAGGAGAGGGCGTCCTGGCAGAGGGCCTTTCCCTGGAGCCTTCCGGTCCAGGAAGGGTCATCAGTGGTGATGGTGGAAGTGGATGCACCATATGTAGGAGTACGGCGTTAATGGGACAACAATATGATCACAGCAGGTGAGGATGGGCAGGAAAGCAGGTGGGCAGGCCGCCGGGTGAATGTTGCAGGATGCCCAGGCCGGGCAGGAGGCCTGGGGGCAGCGGGCAGGAGGAAGCAAGCAGCTATCCCGACGGTCGGGACCTTGTTGCTGTAACTGTTTCTCCCCAAGCGGGGTGGGGCTGAAGCTCAGGCTGCCGCTGTCTAGACACACGCCTGTCCACCCCAGGCGTCCCCGTGACTCCTGAGGAGTTGCTGCGGCAAGGGGGGGGTGCTCCCATGTGCGCCACAGGTGGGGGACGGAGGGGCTAGGATGGATCCCAGATCTGCTCGCATCAGGCCAGGGGCAACGGTCTGGTACGGGCAGGGGGTAACTGCACTGCCCCCCAAACCCTGTCCAGGCAGCCTGTGACCCCAGCATCCCGGCCTGCACCAGGGCCGCTGCTCTCCTCGGGGCTCAGCCTCCACACCCCGGGGCCCGGCCAGCCAAGGGCAGGAAGCTGACGTCCTATCCTGGCTCACTGGGGAGTGCTGGACACTTGGGCACCGGGAAGGAGTGGGGTTGAGCGGCCAGGTGACACGGCACAAGCTCCTGACTCACGATGTCCGGGATTCAACACAAACGTGGCGTCACCACGTTTTCATCCAGCAATCTTGGCTGATCCTGGGATTCAGCATCCCCATGGACTACAGCAGGGGCAGAACCTGCCACAGGGCTGTGCTAGGGTTGAGGAGGCCCACGCACAGCGCTCAGCATACAGAGCGCACACTGAGTGCAGTGGCTGAGTGTGGGCACTCAGTGCAGTGGCTGAGTGCAGAGGCTGAGTGTGGGCAGCTGAGTGCAGTGGCTGGGTGCAGTGGCTGAGTGCGGGCGGCTGATTGCAGTGGCTGAGTGCGGGCGGCTGATTGCAGTGGCTGAGTGCAGTGGCTGAGTGCAGT